TCGTGGAGGTATTTCATTTAGATTTTTGATACTTAAACATTTTTGTATTATTATTTTCATAATGTTTATATTTATTTATATATTTATTATAATGATAAATATTTAAGAATTAAGAATTCTGAGTCAATAAGTTTGAATTCTAGGAATTTATATAGTATATTATCCATCTGCCATTAAAAGTAACTATACTATTAACAATATTAAAAAAAAAAAATGTTGTAATTTATTATATAATTGAATTAATTTCATAAAATTATTAATATTTAATGTGAAAAATGTGTACCTTTGCATGTATAAATTGTTGTAACGAGATCGTTATAATGTATGATTATAAAAAATAAAAATTGAAAATATTTGTTAAGCTTACATTAGTAATTAGGAAATAATGTATTTTTGTTTGTCAATTTATATTAAATATTTATTAGGTATGAAATAAAACAATAATTTTCTATATTTGATAATATTTTAATATTTACCTACAAATTATAATACAATAATTACATTATAATATTGATTACCTATTTTATATAATATTACAATGTTCATATTTTATCATACTGTATCATTATATAGTTATAATTATTAGCTTATTTAATGTATTTTTAATAATATTTTCACCTACAAACTTTACATGCAAATATATTATAATACGATGCATTCATGAAGATATATAAGCGTAATAATAATAGCTTCATAAATCATTCGAGCTATGCAATCAGAAAATAAAAAATAAAATCTTTAATGGTTATCATGACAAAAATAGAAAATAAAATTTCACCTCAGAATGAGAAGATTATATAATGATATCATTCATCATCGAATTATAACTCTATATTTTCGAACAGTTATAGATAAAACATATTATTATATTGATTAATTTATTGTTATCTACTACATAACTATAACAGTATTGTTATTTTTTATAAATAGTTTTGATTAATTATTTGTTACTTAATTAAAACATGAAAATCCGATTTTCAGAAATTTTTAAACATGAAGTTATATCATATTTGCAGTTATATTTGTATAAATTAATTTCAAATAACAACGTATTCCAAAAAATTATCTCTATTTAGATTCAATGTGTACTCGTTACTGTAATTGTTAAATCAAAAATAAATATATTAACAATTTTTAATCTAAAATATATCCTAAAAACTATAACTATTTATTATTACGTGTAATGTTACAATATTTTAGTAAGCATACTAAGAATTTTATGAAATATTATAAAATTTGAAACATAATCTAAGCAATATATAAACAGCACTTACATTTTATTAAACATGACGTGATTTATTAAAGATGTATATTATGGAATTAATTAAAATTAAAATCACTAAGTTTCTTAATAAATATCATGAATTAAGTCATCGTAATAATATCATCACTTATACATATATAGTTTTCAATGTTAATGTAGAACATTAATAGTTTTAATGATTACCTACTTCTTATTAAATGTTTACAATAATTTGTATAATGAATTATTTCATCATATTTATCTTTTTCAATAATATCAACTGAGATAAACTCTATGTACGTGACCTTATCATTATTTCAATTCAAAATTGGTACTAAAATAGAGTTCATTTAAAGTATTTCATGAAGTATTAATTGTAAAACTGTTCATAAGTAAGTATAGTATTTGTGGTACAAAACAAAACCATTAAACGGCGTCTTAGATAGGCAAATTAGGTCCACCCTTGACATAAATTATTGCTTAAATGATATTACGTATCTAATACGATATTATGCTAAACAGTAAACACATATTCACATACCAGTATGCTACAATGGCTAAATTCATCAAAGCTATTCGCCCAACTGGGTCTACCTTCCTTAACTAATGGATTTAACAGAAATCCTAAGGAGAATTGGACTTTTACCAATTAGTCTTTACAATGTTTGAGTTTAATAAACTGAGTACTAGATGGTTTCTCTATCTATGCCACATACTTGAAGTAAGAAATTCTTGAACCAAAGTACATTAAATCTTTGTATCTGGTATTTATTATAATGAAAAATTAGTTATTTAATCAAAGTATTTAATTTGAATTTAAAATAAAAATAATATGATAAGTAAAAAAAAATAATAATTATTATATATATTTTGTATTATAATTATTCAAAATATTTTATAAATAGTATGAAATTTTATATTAAATTTGTAGATAAAATGATCAAACAACTTGTAAAAACATTTTTTATTTAAAGTTTAAAAAGTAACTAAAAAATATAAAATAGTATTTTAATATATACCTAATAGGTAAAGCAATTTTTGAGGAATATTTAAAAATTCTTTATGAATTGTAAAGTATTTTTTAATATATAGTTTTCCAATATAAGTGAACAAAACCAAATATTTTTATTATAAATATATTGTTATGTAGATATATGTTTTTAGCTAAAATTATATATACTCTAGCATCTTTATTAAATAAGATACATCATAAATAAAATTAATTTTGAGTATAGTATTTATTTTATTATTATGCTAGTAAACAATATTCACTTAAACATAGAAAATATCATTCTATGTCATAAAATCTGATATATTCAAAAAAAATTTAACTACCTATCTTAGAAAAATAATTTTAAATGTTTTTTCAAAGTATAGATAAAAGTTTAGTTTTTATAAATGATACTATATTATTAAGCCAAGACAAAATTATTTTAATGAAACCAAAATATATTATAACAAAAACAAGTTAAGCAATATTTATAATGAAGTATAACTTTTACATTATTATAATGAGTAATTATTACTAAATGAGAGTGATAAGAAATTTTATTTTGTACTGAATTTTTTTTCTTTGTTTTTTTAATACTATCAATACTTATAATTTAAAAGCTTAAATAACTTCTTCTATAATTAGAAAACTCTGATATTAATGCTTTAATTTTCGTTCTAAAAAGTACCTACATTTAGTAATTATTCCATTATATTCTATAATCTGAATTTTGAATATTATACTTCAATAAAATATATTAAGTAAACTTAATAATTTTTAGTATTATTGATTATAAACACTAGTATATATAATATAGTGTGGTCTGAAGGGTTAAGTAATTACGTAATCTAGGTATAATATTATAGATAAATATATCTTTTTAAAACTTTTTAATCAATTATGAATTAATTCTGTAATTTATAATTGTAATTAAAAAGTAGATAATTTAAAAAGTTATAAATATGTTTAACCAGCATAATATGAAGTATTACAATTTCACAGGGTTTTCAGTAAATAAAGTATTAATATGTTATATAATTTATTATTATACACACACACACACCGCTAGTGTTTAAAATTAATTGATTAATTATTAAATAAAACGAATGTTTTAGAGGCTAATTAAATATTTCCCTTTTCTAAAGAAGTTATTTTAAATACACACTTTTTAATTTTTTCTTATAATTTTACATTTTTAATATCTATGCATAGTGACGTAGCTAAATTAGTTATAATATTTTAGTTAATGCAAGCAATATATTATACGTTGAATGATCAGTGAATGAAATGTTTTAGACTTGAAGCAAGTTTGGTTATTTATTATCAATTTGATGGTAAGTTGGGAAGTTTTGCGGTTGAAAGTAGGCATTTTCGTGTAAAGCCGTAATACAGACCGATGAGGCGCAAGCGTGACCTTAAACTGAAAACAAAGCAGTATTAAATCCGTAGCTAAATAATACTGTAATATTTAAGTAGTAAAAAGAAATAAAAATCAAAAAAACCGTACAAGACGCAAGATTTGACTACGATATCAATTATTCTTATTATAATTGTGGGTTTTTAGAATAACGATTGAATAATATTATAATACAACCGTTTTATATAATTGTGGTTAGATCGTATACTCGGTTTCTTCGTAGTCAGTGTGGCATTGGTGTTTTATTAAGCTAACGCCATACCATTTTAACACACTTCAGTTTGTGTACAGTGCCTTCGCTTTTATTACCAATATTATACACGATATTATTATAATTATTATTGCGTTTTCGCGTGAAACTCGATCGAGGAAAATCTTATACATAGGTCAATCACTGTTTTGTACGACTAAAAATAACATATTAAATTATAATTCTATAAGACGTATCGTCACGCATTAAAAAATATTTTTTCAACCATAACATTTAATATTAAAATTATTTATAATTGTATAAATGGTACGATTATACGATTAATACATTAGTGTCGCGCGTAATATTATTAGAACACACGTACTGTGGTCACGTAAGCACGAAGCAAAACAGACAATTAAATTGTTCTCGGTGGGTGGAATAATGTACATGTACTTCTTACGATTTTGGCTTTTAAGAAAAATCTATTGTACGAAACGTATCCGGGAAAGTGGGAGGCATTAGTGTCAACGAGCCCTCTAAAACTAAACCTACACAATTACGTGCGATCGTTATAGATGCTTTGACCGGAACAGTAAAACTAAATAAACTAAACGATAAGTTATAAAATTCAGGTTAGTAGTGTTAATTCAAAAGAGCTCAACGCAAGTTTGAGTGCGCGTGTGATTTTCATATAGATTGCAAACTGAATCTCTGGTCGTAATTAGCGACATATACTGATAGAATAGACGAAATACTATTAGATATGTGTAATCAGTTTTTTCAGTATTTTAATAATATTATCGTGCTATACAACGAGAACCGCAAACAATAAAAAAAAATACGTGCACGCACATACCTATACTCTTTAAAATATAGGCGGAGATTATAGAGTAGGGGTTACGATTTTTTCGCCAATGACGATTATGGACAAGAAAATTTTACTCGCGTATTTCGGAAGATCGTAAACATTTTGTGAGGATCGTCTCTTACCCATAAATCACACCACGATTTCTCAGAATACACGAGTCACACATACCTCAGACTTTACGAACAATTTTTTATACGTCGAAGACGTTGCGGTGTTACGTATACATAGCAGCCGTATATGGGTGGTAATCGGTGGTGTTAGAAAATGTCAAATTATTATCATACTCACTCGGTTCAACAACAGCGACGGCGACGACGGAACGTTTGCGGACGATGTACCTGTTTGAGACGTGTCCGTCGACGACGACGTCAGCGGGCGGACAGCTGTTTTGTCGGATCGCGTTACGACGGCGGCGGCGGCGGCGGCAGGCCCGGAAACCGCTTGTGGCCATCGCCCGAACGCGCCGGAAAGAACCGACGGCAATGGATATCTCGACGACACCGACGGCGGATAAGACGACACGGACAAGGCCTGCACACTCGTATTGCGATCACTGCTGCGAATAGGTACAATAATGACAACAGCAATAATGATATTATTATAGTACGCGACGGACGGTTTGCCAGCGATTAAACGCACCACCGCCGGCACACTACAACGCGTTCGCGGGCGTCGTCGTCGTTGTCGTCGTGTTGGGCACGCCAAACGACAATAAATAATATTGACGTGTACCTGTGTTATATCTCACGCGTTATCGCCGTACACCGACCGCTGAACACTACGACGACATCGTAATAGGTGACAGTGACGCAATGATGATGACAATAATAACGAAACTTCAGGCGCTGTGCTGCGGACACGTATCTGTCGATACTGTTATTCTTATTCTTATTATTCTTATATTATTATTGTTGTTGTTGTTGTTGTTGATGTTGTTGTCGTTGTTGTTGTCGATGCCGTAATAACTCGTAATAAGCCTCTGGTGCGCCTGCAGTATAACAGTGCGACGAAATCCGTGTCACGTCACCGGCGGAAGCGTAACAGTACGTACGGTCGCGATTGCAATGATTACGGAACACCACCGTTACCGCCATCGCGGTGTCGATAATATTGCGTTTTTCATGACGACGTCGGAGTACTCTGTAAGAACGACACGGCGACGAAGACGACACGATTATAACGCGACGCGATTGCGGTTACGTTCAGCGACGGCGCGGTAGTTCTTCTCCAGCAGTCGTTTTTACGGCCTCGGTCCGCACCACCGCCCGCACCGGATATTCGCGCTCGCCGTCGGCGTACAGATTTCGGTCGCGTTCGTCATTATACGCGAAACGCACGACGTTCGCGCGGCGCCGGCGCCACGGTCCCGCCGCCGCCCCGCTGGACTCGCCCGATCTCCGTCACCGCCCGGGCGGCGGACGGCGCCGAAAAATCAATAGCGGCCACTCACACTCGCGCACGAAACACGAAAACACGCGCGCGCGCGCGCGCGCACGCCTCCATCGCTGTGTACAACACACGTCCTATGCACTTTCGGGGAGTCGCGCTCGCATCCCGTCGCCGACACATCTACGGTGTACGCCGCCACCACCACCGCCGCCGCCGCCGCGAGTCCGTTACACCGTATACATACATATATCTGTGTGTGCTGCGTGCTTGTTGTGTGGATATGTGAGCAGAGAACGGTGAATTGAAAAATCTTTTAATTTTTCGTTTTCGTTTTTCCGTCTTCTGTGGGGATCCTCCTTAACCCGCGCTCCCGCGGTATGATTTGCGAACAAATAAAATTTTTATAAACCCAAAACTATATTTATTATTGTATTACATACCGATGCGTGTTTATATACATATAATATGCACATGTTATTATACTCGCACAACCCTATCCGTTCGACAATTTCTCTTTTTTGTATATTTATTTATTTATTTACTTTTTTTGAGGTGGGAGAGGGGTTGATTGCGCGTATACTGATACGTTCGTATACGAACGCGTTAATACACTTATAAACACAGACCTCGAAGTACATTATACACCGCGCGTTCGGATTGTATATAGTTTTTACTTTTTCCTCCACGGTCGAACACACTACGAAAGTTTTTTTACATTATCGCACTAATATACACCCGACAAAGCAAATCTGTGAGACTCCATAATATCTAAATATATTATGGGCGTGTGTGTAGGGTGTTTTAAATTTTAAAACAAAATAGTTTTTGTACTAACTACATACAACTTCTATAAACGCCTTGTTTTAATTTGACATCATCATTATTATAACACACTTCGCATATTCATGTTATAATTGTTTCATTATTTTTTGCTAATATTTTATCCGCACGTTTAAAGCTTACATATTTGCATTTTATGCATAATAATTTGAAAGCTACAATGCAATGTTAAAAAAAAAAAAAAAACAAAACAGTTATAGAATATTGCCTATCATAGTCGTTCAAAATAAATTATTCATCCAAATTTTATAATGAATGAAATGAAGCAAACAATGAATTAAAATATAATACGTATTATATATTTATATTAATATAACCCGACTTTGTGAAATTGTATGAAATTAGGACGGACTATAGAGTATATATTATAATGCACGCGTGTACAATTAGAATAATAACAAAACATATTATTTTAAATATAACAGTCACTTCAAATAAAATGTAAATTGAAGTTTTGTTTTAAATATTTATAAATGCGTTTAATTTTGATAATAAGAAAAATTGAAAATACACAGTAGCGATAAATGTAAAATTCTTGTAGGCGAAAAACCAACAATGTGTAGATCACACAATGGAATAAATTGAAAAAAAAAACATTCTATCATAAATTAAACAAATTAAAATTAATAATTATCTAGAAAAGTTAATCAACAATACCGCACTAAAATATAAACACTTTATAGTGATATATTTTTACTGAATCAAAAAAAAAAACTTGGAGGTTTATATTTGGTCTAAATTGATAATTAATTTTTTTTGAAAAACTATAATCAAATACTGCTAATGATTTAGGTAAATTATAAAAGTGTCGTTTGTACTACTAGATACGATGATACAAGTAAAATATTTTATGATACTATATTCGTATTTAAAGGTAACATAATATATTAGAAAAGGTAGATAAATTAGTTTTACATAGCGAAAAATGAAACAGATAAATAAACCATACAATACTGCAAACAATTAAATTGTGAAAAGGTATACTCGACTTAAATTGACATGATTATATTCACAAAGTATAACAAATGGTTTACTGAACTGTATATTATACAGAATGATTCTCCAGATGCTCACCTCTTTTTTCTCCTTCAATATCTTATGCAGTTATTCAAAATTTGGTTTTTTTTTTTAATTTTTAAATATACTTTAACACCATTTTGTATTTTTAGACAATTTAAGGAGTTTCCTGTGAAGATAAATACTTATGTTTTTCAAATAGCAATCCCTCATTTATATAGTAAATTATTAAATGGATAATTTTTCTATACATTTAGAAATATTAACATTAAAATTTGACTTGTAGTTTTTGAGTTATTTAACTTTGTGTACTAAGAATAATAGATTCATGATAATAAGTTTAGAAAATACTGGAATTATGGTAATTTTAAAACATTGGTAAATTATGTTTATCAATCTATAATTAATAATAATAGTAATCTATTGACATGTGTTTTATTTTTTTATAAAATCATATTTAACAACTATTATCTTTAATATAAATATTTTATAGGATAACTGAAAAACTACTCATTCAAATTTTGAATTAAGTGAATTAATTTTTTTTTTAAACATTTTCCATTTAATAATTTATGCATTAAAAGGAGGAGGAGGAATTTGATTTGATTAACAGCAGTTTGTATCACTATTCACTACAAAACACTCCTTAAGTAGCACAAAAAAATTTTGAGAATTTCGAAACATGAATAGATACATTTATTATTAAATGAAAATAAGATGAATCACCTCATACATAAACATACATGGCTAAAATTTTTTCGACCATCTTAGTTAAAGAAAAACACCATAGAAAAATATAATGGTATAGATTCTGTATTGACCCCGTTTAAACTTGCAGTTTTCAAATAATTAAATTTAAAAAAATAACAATTTTGTTCATAAAAAATAATTGTCTAACTTTATAGAGCAATAACAATTAATAATTAATAAGTCTTATACTTTCAAAAACATTTATGTTATCATAAGGAATAACGTATTATTTTTTCCAAAACTTGTTAATGTATAATGTATATTATCATACTTACTTTACTTTACTATGGACACAGATTCAATTTATGGCATTATTATATATCAGCAATAAAATTCTTATATTCAAAATCGAAATATTCATTCAACAATTTTTATAAGAATGCTTGTTTGTTATAAATAATATAATACTATTTAGTGATGCAAATAAAAAAACAATAAGTATTTCTTTCAGTATCAATTATTTAATTTTCTTTTTATATTCTCAGTTAAGTTAACCTATAAGGCTGTGTTCTAACCGTATATTGTAGTATTTAAACAATATACAAACATATAATATACCATTAAATATCGAATGCTACTTTATTTTGTTAAATTAATTGTTCATACCTAATATGTAAGTATTAATTCATTAATCAATCACATTCTTATAATATGATTCAATCAACGTTAGTTGTTACATTTTTGAAACATTGATTTTTTCAGAGGTATAATAATTTAATTTAAATAAAAATAATTTACAAAGCTCATGACGTCACTACAACAGTAATAAACAGCAGGTAGAAAATTTAACACCCATTTAGACCATTTTATCACGAAACAAAAATAATAATTTAATTCACCATTATGCGTGCGTGCATGCAAATTCATTGTGATTTGTTTAAAATAAAAGTATAGTTCAATAATTTCAAGTAATGTTGAATGAAATAATAATAAATAATAATATACAATTTAAAACTAATCCAACGAAAACCTATTTAGTTTGCTAATAGCAATGGCGCAACCAAGATTTTTTAAGGAGGGATAGCAAAAATATAATTATTTTAAAATAGCAAGCAAATTTAATTATTATTTTATTTTTTGATCAATGTAAATATTGCAATCATATAATATAAAATTGAATGAAAATTAAATGTAAAAAATAAAATTAAGTATGTAAAATTGTAAGTTTACCAATTGTGCTTAAAATTACTATTTTATATACCAATTGCGCCCAAAACATTTTAAAATACTTAATGAAAACTTATTAGTTAGTTATAGTTATATAATAAATGATTACACACATCGATTTTTGCAAGTGTAAATACATAAATATAATATAAATAAATAAATATAGTCAATTATTCAAAATTAACGGCTATCATCAATGTTTTATCCTGCAGTGTAGTACAATAGGTATTTATTGCGCAAAGAAAAAATTAGACTGATAAATATCCAATGATAATGAAAACTTATTTTCGTCTATCACTCAATTTCATACATGTACGATCAGATGTGCATAATAATAATAATGTTTCATAAAATTCTCGATACTGTTATATAATATACAATAACCAGTCACTTAAACCAGTAATCAATTGATTAATAAAACAATAAATAAATAATTTTTAAGTATATTTGTGTGTAGATTGTTTATTTCGATGTCGATGGAATTAGATTAAACAACAGTATTTTTATATCTGAAGATAAGAAAATTTAAATATAAACGCAAATATACTGACTCTAAAATATAAGAAGAGAAAATGGTACACTGACCCTAAACAAAAACTTTGTTTTAGGCGTAACTGGTATATGTTAGTACAATTATGTGTATACTGCTGTAACATTAAAATTACTGTGTTTTAGAAAAATACGACACGGTTCAAGGGGGTGGGGGGGGGGTCCGAACCCGGGACCCCCCTGGTTGTGCCACTCGCTAATAGTACTTAATACATTTCATTATTTAATTGTTTGGTAATAATTACTTAGGTATATTATGATTATTATGAAATACTTATCTAAAAAAAAAAAAAATAATAATTTAAACTACAAAAACTCGAAAGCACAAAATAATTATCGTTTATTTATTTAAGAATAGAATCCTATTTTATTTGCTATGAAAGCAGTGTGAACCAATGTATAATATATTAAAAAAGCGAGTAATCTAAATTATTTAATGATTTATTATGATTCATTTAATTCTAATCATGAAAAACATACGCATTTCATAGATAGTATTTATTTTTGTTTTAAAAATGAAAGTTATTATTCTCATTTCATAATATTGTACAAAGTTAAAACGCAATATTATCTCTGTATATGTTTTCACGA